ATATACATATACTGATACTGATACTGATACTGATATTGATACTGATACTGATACTGATACCGATACTACTAATGATACTGATATTGGTACTGATACATATTGTGGTACTGATACTGATACAGATAATAATATTGATACGGATACTTATACTTATGTTAATACTAATATTTGTACTAATACTAATATTTGTACTAATACTAATACTAATACTAATACACATACTAATACTAATACTAATACTAATACTAATATTAATACTAATACTAATACTAATACAAATACTAATACTAATACTAATACCAATATTAATACTATTACTAATACTAATATTAATACTAATACTACTATTAATACTATACTAATACTAATATGTTAATATTGTTAATGTTAATGCTAATACTAATTTTGATGCTAATGCTAATTATGATTGTAATTCTAATATTATTCAAATCCTTATCGTATTTCTAATTCTATTCATAACACTAATAATAGTTCTAATCATAATCCTAACCATAATCCTATTCCTAACACTAATCATAAGCCTAATAATTTTAATACTAATAATGCTAATGCTAATGCTAATGTTAATTCTAATTCTAATCTTAATAATAATTCTAATCCCAATCCTAATGTTAATCATAATCCTAATACTAATGCATATCACTGATTATGGTACTAAGCATAATTAGAATCTTAATTATAATTCTAATACTAATATTAATCATAATCCTAATATTATATTAATCCTAATTACAATCTGAATCCTATTTCTAGTATTAATATTAATACTAATTCAATGAATCTTACTTATATTTATAGTTCGAATACTAATATCAATCACAAATTCTGATTTTGCAACAATTTTTTTGCAATGATCTATTATTTAGTATAAAAAAGAACAATTATATTCAATCCCGAACCTTTATATCAAATTTCTTATGTGTGGTAGCTCAACCATAAAAAAACACATATTAAATATATTAGAAATTAATATTTAATTATATTATCAAACTGACATTAAAATTATTTAAAATATTATAAGGGTATAAGCAAATATTAAGACGTAAAAGAACAATAATCATTGTTAATAAGATAAACTATGAAATCCTCCTGAACTTAGGTTAAATTACAAAAAACACCCCCACTTATCGATGATTATACCAAAACCCCCCTAATGTTTGTTTCTGTCTTACACGACCCCCTTATGGTGTGATTTTTTTATGAATTTTTTTTTTTATTCCATGTAATGTCCCAAAAAATATGGAGTCTACCCTTGCAGACATGACATTTCTTTTATCGTACTTTTTAAACTAAAAAATTACCCTCAGGGTTGTCATCGTAATAATAAAAATTTGTGAATGTGTTATTTAAGAAGAATAAAGATTTCGTGTAAAGTTCACCTGAGGGTAATTTTTGTCTTTAAAAAGTACCATAAAGAAATGTCGTGTGTGCATGATATAATAATCATTATTGGAATATTCCAAAAAAATCCTTGAAAAATCATACCATAAGGGGGTCGATGTAAGATGGAAACAAACATTAGAGGAATTATTAATATAAATTATTTACGGCAAGAGCACTTCGAGTGGGATTATTAAATGAGCTATCAAAACATTTAAACACCATTTTTATACTCCAAAATAGTAATTTTTAATTTTAATAGAGTTATGAAATGAGGTATTTTGATATTTCATCTTTCAGAATGTAAAAATATATTATGCAACCATGCAGAATAAAATATCAAACATGAGTTATGAATTTAACCACCTCAGTGTCCATTTAGAAAATAACATGTGGCAATTTGATATATTTAATTAACAACTATTTAATACCTATGGTTGAAGCAAATACATTTAGATAAATATCAAAATAAAATATTAAATAGCACATAAATATTGCAAACTCATTTTGTTACTTTTGGATTGGAGTTGCTGTAGGTATTTACTTCATTATATTTATTAGAGTATAAGAAAATACTTATTAGTGGAATACAATATATAGTATATACGATCATTATACATTTTAAACAAAACAATTGACATTCTTAATGTTAGCCATTAAATAAAGTGGATAAACGAATTTAATTCCAAAAATTAAGAATTATTATATTTTGAAATATATAAAATCAATTCGGTTTTTTATGAATTGATTAAACTTAACTTAGGTTATTCAATTTATTAGTATAATCATGATAAAATTTGTATTTTAATTAGTATATAATTTAAAAAGTTAAATCAATCGTAAAATTTATTGTCACTGAATTCAGTGAAGAAAAAACAATTATTTAAATAATAATATAAAATTCATGTAGTATAATTTTCAATATGGTAAATAATTGTGAGTACATTACTCTACACATGGCATAACAATAGTGTCAATTTTCGCAAGATAGTAAATTCAAACATGTATCTTTCTTTTTTACAGATAATATTAATATATAATATTTAATTAGTAAAAAAATACATATTCTCTAGTCATGTTCATGTAAAATGTATAATATCAAATAATTTATTCTGCAATATGTTTTTTTAATATAAATCCAATTTTATGAATTAAAATTAAAAAAATTTGTAACACCTCCAATCATGCAATTATAATAAGGGAGGATTTTAAATTGAATTTAACTAAACTGAAATTAATTTAATTATAAAATTAAATTCAAAAATAAATTTATTTAGGGTTTTCAAGAAAGTTGATATATTTAGAGTATTTTATAAATGGTAGGATATAAATAGATTAATTAAATAATTAAATATATTTAATTATTTTTAATTTTGGAAATGATGACATGTTTTTTGATAATTTATTTCCACCAATCAATTCGCCATTTGGGATAAAATTGAGGACATGTCATCAATTAAAGTTGACAAATATCAATCAATTAACTATGAAATTCAACTTTTATATATTATATAGATTTCCGAAATTTCATTTTTTTTAATTTGTTGCAAAAGAAATGGAATAAATTAATTTTCTTGAAAGTGTTAATTCATAACCGATCCATTGATTTTTCTTAAGGGTTGGTGTAGTTACAGTTAAATCCCATCTAGTTTGAAAAACTGCACATACCTCCTTTGAGGTTTAATATTGGCTAAGGGTTAAAACCCATTTCACCATTGACATTTTTGAAATCTCATTTTTTTAGTAAAATATATTGACATGTCCTGATGTTAGATCTAATAATATATGAACCCCTCATATTTCAAAATATTACATATACCTCCCTTAAAGTTTAATTTTAACTAAATATTGAATTAAAGCTTATTAAACAATATTTTATTTTTACTAATGACCTTATCAATAAACCATAAATATTTAACAAACTAAATTTAAACTCATTAAATAAATATTTTTCCATCATTTATTCTAGTGGTAATTAGCAAGAAGTCCCTCGTATGCAATTTCATTAGCAATACGAATACGTGAAAATCCTAATAAGAAAAAGGCCATCGCTCGTCATTTTGACAGAAAAAACATGGCAGCTAAAAGTCCATACAATAGTGCATAGCGTGTCCTATATCCGAAGTTTGTTGCCAAAGTTCATTGCCATTTTTAAGAAGTTTAGTCCAAAGTCTCATAATTTTGCTACCGATTTGAAGCTAATTTTAATAATTTTACTATTAATTTTCAGCCAATTTTTGCAGTCGTTCACTAACATGTTTGTTAAAATACTCAATTTTGAGAACCTCACTATCAATTTCGGCCAAATTTTCAGAATTTTACTATCAAATTTAAAATAAGTCTCAATTTTCAGCCAATGTGCAAAAGTTCACCATCATTTTATTAAAATACGTCAATTTTCAGAGCACTCTAAATTTTAGCTAATTCCCAAAAAAATATTGCCAATTTTCAGCCAAATTTTCAAAAGTTCATTGATAAATTTAAAAGTTAGCTCCATTTTGATTTAAAGTTTACTGTCACATTTTGTCAAAATATTCAATTTTTAAAAGTTCATTATGAAGTATTGGGAGTTCAATACTAATTTGAAGCCAATTTTTCATTTTTTGCATGTTTGCCACCATTTCTTTATATCGTATTTGTTGTCATTAATTACTGCATCATCATCTTTCACATAAATTAAACCTCGAAACGCATAATAAAACACACATGAAAAAATGCATAAAAACATCAGCAAATCAACATCTTCATAATTGATTTTATTAAACAAAATAATTGAAAGTAAACGAGGTGCTTTAGCGTATAAAATTATGTTTCGTGGAATTTGTAGGAAAGAGAGACATTTTCAAGGTACCTACTATTATTTAGGGTAAATTACAAACATCCCCTGAGGTATGGTCAATTTACAAAAAAACCCCTCTTGTTTGGATAATTACATCTAACCATCAACTATGATTTTTTCTTACACATCCACCCTTATAGTGTCAAATTCAACATAATCATCTAGATTTCGTGGAATGTGCCCTAGTTTGTACTCGTTTTTGTAAAAATACAGTTTCTGATGCACCACAATCTGATATATACAAGCCAAAAAACACATATTATGATCATCTTGCTTCAAAATGTAGAGTTCGAATGGGACAAAATGGGTACAAAAGTGACAATATTTCATATAATCTCGAAGATTCCACTAAATTTGAGGAGTTGAGGGGGTAGCTGTAATTATCCAAACAAGATGGGGGTTTTCGTAAATTTACCATACCTCAAGGGGCGGTTGTAATTTACCGTATTATTTATTGTTACCAACTAGGGACTATCACCTAATTTTACCTTAAATTTGAACAAAATTGTGCGGTATACTATAGTATAGTATACTTCGCGTTACATGTATTTGAGATTTGGCGTTACATGTATTTCAGTAAAATTAGTTAAAATGTAGAAAGGTAGCTGAATTATAGTAATTTGTTTATCTTTTTTATTACAAGGGACAAATGAAGGATATATCGGACAACGCTGACACGTCCAGCTGTCTGAAAACCAAAAAAAAAAAGAAAAAAGAAAAAAAGAAAAAAGAAAAATATAAAATGTGTATGGAAGACAACTCTCTACCCCCTTTCGGTGGATTTTCATTTCAACCTGCAAAGGCCTCTCTGCTCTCTCTCTCTCTCTCTCTCTTCTTTCTCTCTCATCTCGCAACCATCTTCATCTCATTCACTCCTATCTCCTCCAAAAACAAAAAAATACCAAAAAAATAAAAGAAAAAAATAAATAAAAGCAAGTCAATAGAGATTCTGGTTGGGGCAAGAGTTTCACTGATCAGGCAGGCATACCCTTGATTAGCTGAATTCACCTCTTCAGATTAAGAAACCTCAGATTTGCCAAAAAAAAAAAAAAAAAAAAAAAGGAAAAATTGAATTTTATTTAGGTTGAAAAGAAAAAGGATGGATGCTAATTCATGGGCTGCTCGTTTGTCTTCTGCCTCCAAGCGCTATCAATCTGCTCTTCAAACTCGATCTGGTATTTCAATTTCCCCAATTTCTTACAAGCTTTGTCTTTAGTTGTTGTTAATTTAATTTGCTTTTCGTTCAAGATTGCATTTTTGTGGGGTTTATGAGCGTAGATGCTTTAAGTTTCATCTTTATCATTTATTATTTATTTATTTTTTAATCTAGGGTTTGTCGAATTCAGTTATTTGTGTGAATTTAATTTTCTTGAGAGATTTGATCTAATGTTGTATTTGTAGATTTTTAATCAAATGCCCTTTTTTTTTTTTTTTTTTTTTTTTTTTTTCTCTCTTTCTATTATGTTTGTTGTTTTATGGGTTTTGTGTACGTGGGCATTGCATATGTGAATATATGATCTAGTTTGTGTTTGTGTATTTGAAATTAAATGTTAATTTTTGCTATTGCATCATTACCTGGTACGAGATTTGATTATTTTTTGGTATTCGATGGATTTATTTTTTTATTTGGGTTTTTTTTTTTTTTGTTTTGATCCAATATTTGATGGGTTTCTTGTATGTGTGTTCGCGCGCGCGTGTGTGTGTGTGGGTGTGGGTGTGTATTTTGATGTAGGAATGAAATGGGATGGGTTTGATGCAGAAATGCTAATGGGGTTTGAGGAAATCGAGGTGGATGACGACATAAGGGAAGAATATCCATGCCCTTTTTGTTCGGACTATTTTGATATTGTTGGACTTTGCTGCCACATCGACGATGAACATCCTGTAGAAGCGAAGAATGGGGTATGTCCCTATATTTTTCCTATATATATATATATATACATTATTGTACAACTACGGACAAAATATCTGAAGTTGAACTAAACCTTTTTAAAGATTCTTAAATAGTGCAATATTTAATGTGATTTGTCACAGTTTCGATGTTCTCTGATGAAGTGATACTGACATAGGTGTTTTTAACCTTGCAGGTTTGTCCAGTTTGTTCGATGAGGGTGGGTGTCGACATGGTCGCTCATATTACCTTGCAACACGGCAATATCTTTAAAATATCCTTTTTTATATTCATAGTTTGCATCGTCCGCTATTTTATTCTTCTCGTGAATTCCTTGTTCTTCATTATTCGATTCCATGTTCAATTTATTGTTTGTTTATGTGCTCGATATGACGAGAAGTTAAAACATGTGATTTGAGTTCCTTCACTAGAGAGAGAGAGCTCACATGCAGAGAAAGAGAAAATCAAGAAAAGCCGGTTCACATTCGACGCTGTCTATGTTGAGGAGGGAGCTGAGAGAAGGGAATTTGCAGTCACTTTTTGGAGGCTCTTCGTGCGTAGTTTCTTCGACCAACGCCGCCCCAGACCCTCTTTTATCATCGTTTATTTTGCCCATGGTTGAAGATTACGAAACTGCTCCCACCCACTCTTCTGCTGAGTCAGCATTAGTCAAGAAAACCACAACTGCTACCAATTCGGAGAGGTAATCATTTTCTTCCTTGTTTGTATTTGCTCACGTTTTACTACCCCATCACATGTCACCATCCAGTGACCAAAAAAAAAAAAAAAAAAAAACGGATCTTCTTATTAGTATAAAAAGCAATTGTGATTATTACTCGGATGCTTCTTCTGAAGTCTTCCGTTTCGTTGGTTTTGTTTTATAACTACTGTTGTTGCATTTGTGCATTTGTTTAAATTTATTTACTAGTGCAAAACCTTAAGTTCCTTAAAACACGTGATGATATATAAGTGTTGAATGTGCTATCCGTTAAGAATCTCGATTTTCTAAGGTTGCTATAGAATATATGGTACTCGTATGTTAATGTGCGGCAGTTCGGATATAATATTTACTATTTTAAGGGTTGTGAACATCTTCTATCCTTTATTAATACAATATGGTGTTACCTGGTTTTTAAAATCGGTCGTGGGTAAATGTCGCTATAGCAGAAAAAAGACATCAGCCTTTTGGTTTAAGAGTTGATATTATTTGCTTGCACATGTTTATCATGTGCATATAAAGCAATGTCTATTCGATCTTGTCATCAAACAAGTCAATGTATTTTGTACTTTTCGTCGTTGTCAGTTCTCTCTTGTGGGTTGTATTTGTATGTATCTAGGTCGATGGAGTTGTTGCATTTCTTGACCGACTCACCTCATTGTAGCATAATAAATTTCACATTCATACATAAGTAAATCTTAGTTGTCATAAATATGGAAAGAACTAAATTGGAAGAACGATTATGAGTGATGGGAGGGGATTGATCGTAGCAATTTAAAAATTAGGATCGATGATGGGTTATCCTCGTCCTTTTATAGTTCATATCACTTTACTATTGAATTTGATTGAATAGTGAGAAAATTTCTATCAATAAACAAATAATTCCACGTCATATGTTGGGCATTATTTGAAATTGGTATTGGGATATTCTCTTTAGCAGAAAAGTGAAGCAGGCACCAATGTCGATAAAAGATAAGGAGGAGAAGGCAAAGAGAAGTGATTTTGTTCAAGGACTGCTTTTGTCGGTGATGCTCGATGATATTTTGTAAGTTGTTGGATAGCCGCCATATGTCGAATTTGGTTGGAAACTGCAATATGGGAGCGGCCTATTTTCGGCCACTATGCCCGTTTTATCGATATGGAAAGTGAAATAAGTTTGTAGCAATAAATGTAATTTATGTTATGTAGAGTTTAGTTGTAGCTTAAAATAATATTGGTTGATGTATTTCCTTTTCCTTTTTGTTTTTTTTTTTTTTTTTCTTTTTCTTTTTGGTGTTGTCCTTGTTGTTGTGATTCATGCTTAAATTTGGTGATGATGATATGGTAAACTTGTTGCATTATCTTATGATTTGCATCTTTATTATATCGGTTGAGTCCATGCTGCACATGTGTGGTGTATGAGATTGTTGAGCCCATAAATATTCAAATTTCACATTTACTAACAATTATTTGTCTTTATAAACTATGCAATTATTGTTTTTCTTTCTTTGCTACAAGTTCTCTTCTTTAATACAAGTTCTCAATCTCTCTTTCTTCTTATTTCATGTGTTTATGTTCTTCGTTGTCAAGTGCATGTCAAGTGCAGCGGTGTAATGTGCTCGAGCTTTAAGCTACATTCACGAGCTTGAGCAATCTTGGGTTTTTTTTATTTTCTTGGGTTTACTTTTGTTACATATTTAATGTATATTATTTTTATACATAAATTTAGCAATAGAAAACGAAAGGATTAAATACATTTTGCACCCCTGAAGTATAGCCTATGTAACATTTACCCCTTTAAAGTATCATCTGTAACATTTACCCCTCAACATTAATTGTTTTCATATTTTAAAATATAAAATATAATAACATAACAATATAATAATTTTTGAATCATATAAAATTGAAAAGTAACTAAAATTAAATCATTGGAAATTAATTAAAAAACAATTTATATTGTATAATAATGAATGAAAATATATATCATAGATGCATAGTCATCCATTTTGCCTACGTGGACTTAGCATCTTCTTATCTTGGGGACTAAGAAATAAAGTATAACACAACAAATGAATTATTTATCTGATGATGAAACGTGTCAAGACATTTGCATTTTTAGCATGACAATGCATGTAAAAATTCTTGTATATATATATGTTCTTTTGTAATGAGAATAAATCACCATAATTTTCGCAGCTTTCATATAGTAATAAATCTCTCTCTTTTCGCCTTTTGGTCAACAGTCCTCTTTGCTTGAAATTACAGTATATATATATCCTCACTTTGTCTTGTATTAATATATTATAAATAATATTCCAAAACACGTTATCAGCACGAAGTTTTGCTCGATAGGGATTTGCTATTTTCGTATTCTTCTTTCTTATTCTATTTTACGAAGATCCAGATCCTCAATTTATTGTCGTAAAGACAAACGAGGGTGATTAGCGAATACTTCGGTATTTTATATGCTATCATTTCTCAAAGGATATGATGGATTCGTCTATATACATATACAACTCATATACTAGATGAATTGCTGCTGAAATTTATATTTGCAGATAAATAAAATATAGCTCCAAGTCTAAACTCGTTGAGACAAGAAAGACGATTTAGAGGCTAAATCATTAATATAACTCCGAGCGTAAAGTCGTTGAGACAAGAAAGCCAATTTAGAGGCTAAATCATAAATATACTCCGAGCCTGAAGCTCGTAGAGTCCAGACGTAGTAATATCCGCCAAAAGCCGATTTAAAGGCCAAATATCTGAAAATAACTCCGAGCTTGAAGCTCGTAGAGTCACTAGACGAGGTAAAACCCGTCAAGAGCCAACTCAGAGGCTATTAATCACACCAAATTTAAGGGTTTTGGGTTATCATGTACCCACTGTATATAAATCTCTATTGGAAGGTGTGATTCCCAAGATTGAGTTGTTGAAAACCCACATGTACATATCTCCCTTGGAGGATAAATACCCGAGGTCGAGCTGATTTTGATCACGCGTACATGAAAAATATGGAAAAATATGACTATTGCCTACTCGATAGTGCAACTATACGCTCAATATTCAATAATAAAATATATTTCTCGAGTGTGACTTTGTGCAAGACACAAGTTAAAACCATAGTAGGTTCTGCAGAAATAATAGATGGCTCCGGGAACACAACAATTGTGTTGCCTAATGGTACCACTTTGCATATTGAAAATGCATTGATATCCGATAGATCAAATAAGAATCTACTGAGTTTTAAAGATGTGAGACGTAATGAATATCATTTAGAGACACTAGTTGAAAATACTATGGAGTGTCTATGCATCACATCATATGTTATGGACAAAATGATTGTTCATGAAAAACTCGAAGCGACAACTTCTGGAGTGTATTGTTTCCAAATTCGAGCTTTCGAATCCTATGTTACTATGCCATGGGAACTTGTTAATCCCAATATAGACGGATTATGGCATGATAGACTGGGTCACCCAGGAACGACTATGATGCGTAGGATTGTACAACATACTAAAGGACATCCATTAAAAGATACAGAGATCTTAATGTCCAATGAATATTTATGTGAATCATGTTCACAAGGTAAGCTCATTATAAAACCTTCCATTGAAAAGGTCGGTTATGAGTCACCATCATTTTTACAACGTATTCATGGTGATATTTGTGGACCAATACACCCTGCAAGTGGGCCATTTAGATATTTTATAATTTTAGTGGACACATCTTGTAGATGGTCGCACGTATGCTTATTATTTACGCGAAATGTTGCATTTGCGCGTTTGCTTGCACAAATTATTAAACTCCGAGCACATTTCCCTGATTATTCCATTAAAAACATAAGAATGGATAATGCCAAAGAATTTACATCAAAAAGTTTTGATGAGTATTGTGCAACACTGGGAATAAATGTCGAGCACCTAGTAGCATACGTTCACACTCAATATGGACTAGGGGAATATTTGATTAAACGTGTCCAAATAATTGCTCGTACTTTGCTGATGAGATCTAAACTCACTAGTGCAGCATGGGGCCATGCAGTATTGCATTGCAGCATCAACACTGATTAAATTCTGCCCCACTGCTTATCATATGCATTCCCAATGCAATTGGCCTTGGGCTTTGAGCCCAATATTTCGCACATTCGCACATTTGGTTGCGCTGTGCAAGTGCCAATTCCTCTTCCTCAAAGGACTAAAATGGGTCCCCAACGCTGACTTGGCATATAAGTAGGGTTTGATTCACCGTTGATTATTAGATTCTTAGAGCCAATGACAGGTGATTTATTTACCGCTAGATTTGTGGATTGTCATTTTGATGAGACTATATTTCCATCGATTGGTAAAGATAAAAATATCATTGATAAAGATAAACAAAAACCAATCGAAAATCTCACATGGTGTGAACAACATTCATCTCATCTCGACCCACGTATCTCTGAATGTGAAAATGAGATCCATAGAACCATTCATTTACAAAATATTGCTAATAGACTTCCTGATGCATTTAATGATGCCAGTAAAGTCACGAAGTCTTATATTCCAACTGTGAATGTTCCAGCTAGGATCGATGTTCTTGAAGAACATGCGAAAATGAATGATGATCCCCCACGACAAAAACGGGGTAGACCTATTGGATCAAAGGACTTTGTTCCTAGAAAAAGAAATGGGAAAATCAATGAACCCTCAAATGAGGCGATTCCTAGTGGAATGCTCCAAATGAATCTGTTGAGCCTGATATCGAAAAATCGATATCAAATCCCGGGAATACCGAGAATTCCATAAGTTATTCTAATGAATATGGGATAGAAATGAAATAATCATAGATAATATTTTTGCATTCTCGGTTACACAAGAAATAATTGGTCTAAATGGGAGGAATCAATAAAATCTGATTAACTTCCCTAGAAAAACGAAAAGTATTCGGGTAAATCGTTCAAACTCCGGATAATGTGAAGCCCGTTGGGTATAAATGGGTATTTATCCGTAAGTGAAATGAGAATAATGAAATTGTACGATATAAGGCCCGCCTTGTTGCTCAAGGCTTCTCGCAGAGACCTCGGATTGATTATGATGAGACGTATTCACCAGTGCTAGATACGATCACTTTCCGTTTTCTTATAAATATGGTCGTCTATGAGGGACTGGACCTGCGTCTAATGGACGTTGTAATGGTCTATTTATATGATTCACTAGATTCTGATATTTATATGAAAATTCCCGATGGATTTAAAATGCCAAACTCTGGCGCTCTTCGTCAGCTGCACTCAATCAAATTACAAAGATCATTGTATGGTCTAAAGCAATCTGGTCGCATGTGGTATCATAGATTGGGTGAATACCTTATCATGGAAGGTTATAAAAATGATCCCATTTGCCCATGCGTTTTTATTAAAAGATCTGAAACCGGATTTGTTATCATTGCGGTTTATGTAGATGTCATGAACTTGATTGGAACTTATGAAGAGTTAGCCAATGCAACTGAATATTTAAAGAAAGAATTTGAGGTCAAGGACCTTGGAAAAACCAAACTTTGTCTTGGTATTGAGCTTGAGGATAAAAATTACGGCGTACTTATACACCTATCTGCATATTCTAAACGATTGCTCAGAAAGTTTAATATAGAAAATTCTAATTCATTGAGCACCCCTATGGTTGTGCGCAATTTAGATCCTAAAAAGGATCCGTTCCGACCTAAAGAATTTAATGAAGAGATACTGGACCCAGAAGTGCTGTATCTAAATGCTATAGGAGCGTTAATGTATCTAGCCCAATGCACTCAACCTGATATCGCGTTTGCGATAAATGTGCTTGCGCGATATAGTTTTGAGCCTACCCGGAGACACTGGAATGGTGTTAAACATATTTTTCGATATCTCCGTGGTACTGCATATTTGAGATTATTTTATTCAAAAAATGCAACTAATTAAGGGTTAGTTGGTTATGCCGACGCGAGATATAGATCTGATCCCCACAAAACTCGCTCACAAACTGGATAGTTGTTTTGTTATAATGGTACATGTATATCTTGGCGATCTACCAAATAAACATTAGTGGCCACCTCCTCAAATAATTCAGAAGTAATAGCTCTTTATGAGGCTGGCAGAGAATGTGTTTGGGTAAGTTCAGTCATATCACATATACGAAATTCCTGCCACTTAAATCCAGTTACAAACACGCCCACTATTATTTATGAAGATATTGTTGCTTGCATAGCACAAACAAAGGGACGATACATAAAAAGTGATAAGACCAAGCATATATCACCAAAGTTCTTTCATATACATGAGCTTAAGAAGAATGGAGAGATCGATGTTTGACAAGTTCTCTCATGCGACAATCTTGCTGATTTGTTTACAAAGTCCTTGCCGACTTCTACGTTTGAGAAGTTGGTATACGCCATTGGAATGCCAATGTGAAGCA